ATTTAAAAGAAAGATGCCTTTGGAATCTTTGCTTACACGTGTAAAATCTTTTAAATGTCACGGTCACAGGGTAAAAAGGCTATTCACAACAGGTTGTACCATGGACAAGCTTTTGGCCCAATCCACTCCTCAGACTTCTCAATGGTCAAGAATGCAGACAGGGGAAAAAAGAGAAATGATTGCTTTACATCCAATGGGTGTAAAAGCAAATAAATTTGAAAAAAAAAAAAAAATCTTCACAACCCCCCACAAGTAGTACGGTCCCATGGTAAACACGTACTGCAGGGTACAGTAGGGTAGAAAAAAATAAAAAATAATAATTAAAAAAAAAAATAAAAATGTAAAAAAAATTTTAAAAAAAATTTAAAATTTTGGGGGTTTTAAACAATTTTGGGTTTTTTTTTTTACAAAAAAAATAACGGAATAAATTTGGCAAAGATTTATAATGAAATATTATTTATTTTAAAATTATAAAAAAAACATTTTTTTTAAAAATTTTTTGGATTTTTTTCTTTTTACATAGCAAAAAAAAAAAAAAAAATCCCGCGGGAAAAAATCCCCCCAAAAATAAAGCTTTTTCTTTCAAAAAAAATAAAAAATTAATTTTTTGGGGACAGGTTTCATGACCGCGCAATTGTAATTTAAAGTGTGTTAGCGCTAAAGTGAAAATTGCCCTGGTCAGAAGGGGGGAAAATGTCCGGACGGGTTGGGTTAAAGTAATAAACATGTCCAACCGCTCTGTGCAATAGTTTTCACGACACCCCGATCTTCTCTTTTCCGACTCCTCTGGCACCCCCCTGGCTTTTCCTCCCCCCCCCACTTGCAAAAGGGGACTCACCCAGCTTGCTCCCAAGCTGGGTCATGTGTCCCCTTGAACACCAAGCAAGGGTTTTCCCACCCCCCCCCCTCTCCTTTCTGCTGTAATAGACAGCGCAGGTCAAAGCTCCCCCCTGCTGTCTCTGAGCCAATGAGGGGGGAGAAGCATAAAGAGCTTCTGGGTCTTGTACACATAGTGGATCAAATAGGAGGTAAATATGGGGGGGGGAATGCCCAGGGGGTTTTTACCCTTAAGCAAAAACATTAAGGTAAAAAAAAAACCTTTTTAACTTTACAAAAACTTTAAAAATATTTAAAATTTTTTTGTGAATAGTTTTTGGAGGTTATGAGCCCGGGGCAGTGTCTCCCACGCAAGTAAGAGCTATTTTGGGGGTACAAAGGAAAAAAAAAATGGAAGAAGCAAAGACCAAAAGATAGGAAATTAAAGTGACCATGGTCAAAATGCAAAAAAATATTATATATTTGTACATTGGTTTTAATTTGTTCTGGACCATTCCTATTAAAAAGACCCATAAGGGGCATCACCCCCACCCATGAATACTCTTAGCACGAAACGTGTCAGGGGGGGTACAGCTTTTGGCATTTAGCCTCGTGGGGCCATCCTGATTTTTTGGGCAGTATCTTCTTTGTACATCAAAAAAACGTTCTCAAACAATTCACACATGTGATGTCCCCTTTTTGGGCTCTCTCTGTACGCCATCCCCGCTGCCTGCCCCCCAAAAGGTAATCCGTGATGCTGGAATGAAAAACGAAAAGAACCCCCGGTCCTGTTTTGTCGGGGACCAATTTTTATAGTGAATGCGCCTTTCTAAAACAGAAAGCCTTTTTCTGCTTAAGACAGGAGTTTTCCAATGCTATTTATACGCATTCTGGGGGGGGCCATTCTATTCATTAATTACCACCCCCTGGATCACATATTCCCCCCTTAAACAGGGACTCACAAGACTCCCTACACACGTTCCCTTCTCATTTGGGACTTATATCCTTGCTTTGAATTATTAAAAAATCAACCTATTGATGTTGATTAATATTCTACAAAGGGGATATTATAGTTTTACATTTTTGCGCTGCAACTATATTTTTTACTTCTTTTAGATCGTCGAACATTAGCGCCAGCTTTCGATAGTTTAAGCTATATTGCACATTTTCACCCCCCAGAAGGGACTGGGGGAAATTTTTTTGATCAAGACCAACTGCAGTTCTTTTTACTGCGTGTTAATTTATTTTACATGTGACAAGCTTGATGAAAAAAAATAGTATTTTCTTTCTTGCATGAGAGATGGCAAGCAACTAGGGTTAATTTCCCTTTGTTTGGACAGATTAAAAAAAAATCTCAAAGCAGGTGCTTCTTTTAAGGGTTTCAGCATATTCGGGGGCCCATTATACAAAAATTCTGTTTTTAAATGTCTTTAGCATCCCTATGATGTAGTCAAAACAATGTGTAAAAAAAACTATATTTTAAATACCTTGTCTGCCTGTAAAGTATGAAACCATTTCCATGGTTGAAATTGCTGCAAGTTTGTAAATCATAAGCTTTGTATACTTGTTAGGTCATCCACGTTTTTCACTCCAGTTCTGGATTTTATCATATTGCCTTAGGTTTTGCCAAAATTGTGGCACAAAATGGTATTGAAGATATGACCATCCCTTAACTGACATAAAATAATGGGTTTTAAGGCACCATACCACAAAAATACAAATACAAACTATATAGTAAATGCAACTTTATTAATAAAATTCAAACTGCAACAGTGTTTAGAAATTATTATCCCCCCCTTAAAGTCCGGACCACTACTTACCCCCTATTTCCAGTTTTTAGTCCAGTTTTTTTTTTATGTTTTTTTATTTTTTGTTTCCCCCCCCTTCCAGTCCGGACACTTTCACCCGCCCTTAACAGTCTCACTGACACTTTCACCTCCATTTTCCTTGTCCGAACACTTTCACCACCCGACTTCCAGTCCAGATATTAACTTTCATCCCCTTTACAAGTTCCAGGACTCTTTCTCCCCTCTTCCAGTCCGGGACACTTTCTTGACACCCCTTCCAAGTCCGGACACTTTCAACCCCCTTCCATTCACGGACACTTTCCCCCCTTCCCGTCCGGACACTATTTTACCAGTCCCGGACACTTCTATTATACTTCCCTATTCCATGTCCTACAGCATTCTTGACCCCCTTTCCTGTTTTTTTACTCCCCCCCTTCGACACTTTCCACCCCCCCTTCCAGTCCTAGGAACACCACTTTCACCCCCCCTCCAGTCCGGACACTCAATTTCACCCCCCCTTGCGTAAGTCCCAGGACACTTCACCCCCTTCCAGTCTCCTGTAGGACACTTTCCCCCCTTCAAGGTATACCCGGGACACTTTCTTCCACCTTCCTAGTCACGGAGCACTTTCCTCCCCCATTCCAGTCCCGACACATAGCCCCCCCCTCCAGTCCCGGACACTTTCCCCCCCTTCCAGTCGGGACACTTTTCCCCCCTTTCCAGTCCGGACACTTTCCCCCCCTTCCAGTCCGGACACTTTCCCCCCTTCCTGTCCGGACACTTTCACCCCCTTCCAGTCCGGACACTTTCCCCCCATCCTGTCCGGACACTTTCACCCCCTATCAGTTCCCGGACACTTTCCCCCCCTTCCTGTCTGGACACTTTCCCCCCCTTCCAATCGGACACACTTTCCCCCCCCTTCCAGTCCGGACACTTTCACCCCCCTTCCAGTCCGGACACTTTCCCCCCCTTCCAGTCCGGACACTTTCCCACCTTCCAGTCCGGACACTTTCACCCCCTTCCAGTCCGGACACTTTTCCCCCCTTCCAGTCCGGACACTTTCACCCCCTTCCAGTCCGGACACTTTCCCCCTTCCAGTCCGGACACTTTCCCCCCCTTCCAGTCCGGACACTTTTCCACCCCCTTCCAGTCCGGACACTTTCCCCCCCCTTCCAGTCCGGACACTTTCCCCCCTTCCAGTCCGGACACTTTCCCCCCCTTCCAGTCCGGACACTTTCCCCCCTTTCCAGTCCGACACTTTCACCCCCTTCCAGTCCGGACACTTTCCCCCCCTTCCAGTCCGGACACTTTCCCCCCCCTTCCAGTCCGGACACTTTCCCCCCCTTCCAGTCCGACACTTTCACCCCCTCTTCCAGTCCGGACACTTTCACCCCCTTCCAGTCCGGACACTTTCACCCACCTTCCAGTCCGGACACTTTCACCCCCTTCCAGTCCGGACACTTTCCCCCCCCTTCCAGTCCGGACACTTTCACCCCCTTCCAGTCCGGACACTTTCCCACCTTCCAGTCCGGACACTTTCCCCCCCTTCCAGTCCGGACACTTTCTTTTTCCCACCTTCCAACCCCCTTCCAGTCCGGACACTTTCACCCCCTTTCAGTCCAGACACTTTTCCCACCTTCCAGTCAGGACACTTTCCCCCCTTCCAGTCCGGACACTTTCCCCCCTTCCAGTCCGGACACTTTCACCCCCTTCCAGTCCGGACACTTTCCCCCCCTTCCAGTCCGAACACTTTCCCCCCCCTTCCAGTCCGGACACTTTCACCCCTTTCCAGTCCGAACACTTTCACCCCCTTCCAGTCCGGACACTTTCCCCCCCTTCCAGTCCGGAACACTTTCCCCCCCTTCCAGTCCGGACACTTTCCCCCCTTCCAGTCCGGACACTTTCACCCCCTTCCAGTCCGGACACTTTCACCCCCTTCCAGTCCGGACACTTTTCCCACCTTCCAGTCCGGACACTTTCACCCCCTTCCAGTTCGGACACTTTTCCCCCCTTCCAGTCAGGACACTTTCCCCCCCCTTCCAGTCCGGACACTTTCCCCCCCTTCCAGTCCGGACACTTTCCCCCCCTTCCAGTCCGGACACTTTCCCCCCCTTCCAGTCCGGACACTTTCACCCCCTTCCAGTCCGGACACTTTCACCCCCTTTCCAGTCCGGACACTTTCCCCCCCGTCCAGTCCGGACACTTTCCCCCCCGTCCAGGCCGGACACTTTCACCCCCCCTTCCAGTCCGGACACTTTCCCCTCCCTTCCAGGCCGGACACTTTCACCCCCTTCCAGTCCCGGACACTTTCCCCTCCCTTCCAGTCCGGACTGGAAGGGGGGTGAAAGTGTCCGGCCAATGTTCAGGCCACTGCCCAGGCCAATGTTCAGCTTTCAGCGCTATCACACGTTGAATGACAATTGCGCGGTCATGCAACACTGGACCCATATGCATTTTTTAGCATTTTTTTTGACAGATAAAGCTTTATTTTAGTGGTATTTATTCACCGCTGGGATTTTTATTTTTTGTTGCTATATAAAGTCCAAACATTTTGAAAAAAAAGTGTTTTTCTCATTTTGCAAATAAATAATCTTTCTTCATAAATCTTGGCCAAAGTTTATTGTTATCTTTTTAGTAAAAAACAAAAAAAAGTTTACATTTTAATTTTATTTTTTTATATATTATTATTTTTTTTTTACATACTGTCACCCTAGCAGTCCAGTGTCACTATGGTGACACTACTACTTGTGGGGGTGATGAAGATTTTTTTTTCTTTACACTGATTGCTTTTACACCCATAAAGGCTGTAAAAGCAATAAATTCTCCTTCTCTCTGACTGCATTTCTGCAGCCATTGAGAACTACTGTGTGAGCTGTGATTGGTCACAGCTTGTCACATGGTACAAGGCTGTTGTGAATAGCCCTGTACCATGTGACCTCTGTGATCACTCACAAATTTCACATGTAGTAAGCAATGATGTCAGAAGTGACATCTTGCTTACTACTGTTCATGTGATCACTGATTGGCCAATCAGTGATCACATGATCGGGACCTCACATAGAGATCCCGTACAGCGATTAGTGTTCCGCTGTGTCTGGAGGACACATTGGCACCGGATCGCGGTGCTGCGCGCTCCCAGGAAGCGCGCACAGGCAGGGAATGTTTATAAATGGCCACCCGTCCCTGCACTGCTCCCGTCCGGCCATTTATGTACATGGGTCGGATGGGAAGTGGTTAAAACAGTTGTTTGTGGATCACAGATCCCGCTACTGCTGATGGTTTGCGGGCCATTCTTCGAACCCATCATAAAGTACGGGTGTCAAACTGGTGGCCCTCCAGCTGTTGCCAAACTACAAGTCCCATGAGGCATTGCAAGATTGACAGTTACAAGCATAACTCCTAAAGGCAGAGGCATGATGGGACTTGTAGTTTGGCAACAGCTGGAGGGCCGCCAGTTTGACACCGCTGCTCTATTGGGTACAGAGGTTGAAAATCCATTCTGGCCATTTCCAAGGCCAATAGGCAAGGAGCTGTCTGATAAAGGCCATGAGGAGCTGGGCGCTGCTGGGGGGACATTTTTAAATGCATGAAAAATGTAGCGTACAGCCTAGAGACCCTTTTTTTTTTAAATCAGATCTCAAAATTGACTGGTGAGAGCAGCAGTCACAACAGATCTAAAAAAATATTACTGGGAAAGAAAAATAAAGCCGAATCCCTCAACTCCGTACCAAGCTATACGGTAAAAAGGTTTCATAGTAAATCTCGTGCTGTCCTTTTATCGCAGCACCAGCTGCATCGTATTAAACGTTTGCTGATTACCAACACAGAGAACACAAAAACTCTTTTAAGCCCCCGGGCACATGGGGTGCGATTTGCATGCCAAGTCGCACCTTATTGTCCACAATTACAGCGGTCATATCGGTGCGGTTCCAACTTGCTCAGATCCACATCGATTTCTAAAGCAGTACATGCGCTACTTTTGGTGCGATTTGCATAGACATCTGTGTCAGATGTCTTGCAAATTGCACCGGAAATCGACATGTCCCCTGACTTTGAAATCATGCGACTTCATTGTAAGTCGCATGATTTCAAAGTGGGGCTTGACGTGACCGGGGTGTTAAACCACAACCCCAAATTGCAGAGATAAGGCAGTTTTTATCCTGAAATAAAAGTGACAGCCTAGTATTTCCGAGGCAACAGTCAGACGTACAGTACAGTGGCTGCAGTATGCGATCAGCTTCATTGGGCTGCAATTGAAGAGGGAAAGACAAGGCAAGATTTATTGTGAAATAAAAAGTAAAGTGTATTATTTCTGAAACAAATCCAGAAATATTGTACAGACTCCATGCACAGTATGTAGGCAGCTTTTACTAGGACACAGTTTCACAGGGAGACACCAGGCAGCTTTCACCCCCTCCGAACGGATCTATCAGCAAAGATACCTGCATCCTCCAATCATTGACACCCCCCCAACCCCCCCCCCCCCCACACACTGATCCATCAGCACAGACACCTGCATCCTCCAATCATTGACACCCCCAAAACCCCCCACACTGATCCATCAGCACGGACACCTGCATCCTTCAATCATTGACACCCCAAAACCCCCCACACTGATCCATCAGCACAGACACCTGCATCCTCCAATCATTGAGACCCCAAAAACCCCCCACACTGATCCATCAGCACAGACACCTGCATCCTTCAATGATTGACACCCCAACACCCCCCACACTGATCCATCAGCAGGGATACATGAATCATCCAATCATTGAAACCCCAACACCCCCCACACTGATCCATCAGCAGGGATACCTGCATCATCCAATCATTGAAACCCCAACACCCCCCACACTGATCCATCAGCAGGGATACATGAATCATCCAATCATTGAAACCCCAACACCCCCCACACTGATCCATCAGCAGGGATACATGAATCATCCAATCATTGAAACCCCAACACCCCCCACACTGATCCATCAGCAGGGATACCTGCATCATCCAATCATTGAAACCCCAACACCCCCCACACTGATCCATCAGCAGGGATACATGAATCATCCAATCATTGAAACCCCAACACCCCCCACACTGATCCATCAGCAGGGATACCTGCATCCTCCAATCATTGACACCCCAGCACCCCCCACACTGATCCATCAGCAGGGATACATGAATCATCCAATCATTGAAAACCCAACACCCCCCACACTGATCCATCAGCACAGACGCCTGCATCCTCCAACCACTGACACACCAACCCCCCCCCCCCCCCCACACTGATCCATCAGCACAGACACCTGCATCCTCCAATCATTGACACCCCAGCACCCCCCACACTGATCCATCAGCACAGACACCTGCATCCTCCAATCGCTGACACACCAACCCCCCCCCCACACACACACACACTGATCCATCAGCACAGACACCTGCATCCTCCAATCATTGACACCCCAACCCCCCCCCCCCACACACACACTGATCCATCAGCACAGACACCTGCATCCTCCAATCATTGACACCCCAACACCCCCCACACTGATCCATCAGTACATACACCTGCATCCTCCAATCATTGACACCCCTACACCCCCCACACTGATCCATCAGCACAGTTTCCTGAATTCCCCCCTCATACCCCCTACACCCCCCACATTGATCCATCAGCACAGTTTCTTGAATTCCCCCCTCATACCCCTACACCCCCACACTGATCCATCAGCGCAGACACCTGCATCCCCCCTCACTGACATCCCAACCCCCCCTCACACACACATACACACTGATCCATCAACACAGACACCTGCATTGCATCTGCACTGACACCCCAACACCCCCACATGTATCCATCAGCACAGATACCTGAACTTTCCAATCACTGACATCCCCTCCACATGCACACGCACACACACTGTTCCATCAGCACAGACAGAGGCTGAGCAGCTGAAAGGGATCTATTAGAATTTTATTGGTGATCCATCGGGGGCACAATACTGTATATTAGGATCCATTATAAAAGGGATACAATATATCACACAATATATACAGTACGATAATATAGGATGAAAAATAATGACACAATCTGCAAACTAGTTATATTCTTATTTCTACTGCATATTGTAATAGACAGACTATAAAAAGTCTTCACACCCCGGGTAAATGTCGGGTTTCTGTGATGTAAAAAAATTAGACAATGATAAATAATTTCAGAACTTTCAGTCAGGAGAAGGGTACAAAAGAATTTCCGAGGCATTAGATATCCCATGGAACACAGTGAAGACCGTCATCATCAAGTGGAGAAGATTTGGCACAACAGGGACATCCCCAACAGTGACCTCCCCAACAGTGACCTCCCCAACAGTGACCTCACCAACAGTGACCTCACCAACAGTGACATCCCCAACAGTGACCTCACCAACAGTGACCTCACCAACAGTGACCTCACCAACAGTGACATCCCCAACAGTGACCTCACCAACAGTGACCTCACCAACAGTGACCTCCCCAACAATGACCTCCCCAACAGTGACATCCCAACAGTGACCTCACCAACAGTGACCTCCCCAACAGTGACATCACCAACAGTGACTTCCCCAACAATGACCTCCCCAACAGTGACATCCCCAACAGTGACCTCACCAACAGTGACATCCCCAACAGTGACCTCACCAACAGTGACCTCCCCAACAATGACCTCCCCAACAGTGACATCCCCAACAGTGACCTCACCAACAGTGACATCACTAACAGTGACCTCCCCAACAGTGACCTCACCAACAGTGACCTCACCAACAGTGACCTCACCAAGAACTAAACGTCCCTCCAAAATGGAAGAAAACTGGTCTGGGAGGCGGCCATGAATGGAGCTGCAGTAATATGTGGCCAGTCCTGGCTGTGTGGTCCATGTGACATCGATCTCCCGTGTTCTTCATATGTCTGGGCTATGGGGGAGGGGGAAGACCGAAGACTTTTCTTATGAAGAAAAAACAACGCAAAACCAACACTGCCCATCACCAAAGGAACACCACACCCACTGTGAAGCATGGTGGTGGCAGCATCATGCTTTGGGGCTGTTTTCCTTCAGCTGGAACTGGGGCCTTAGTCCATGTAGAGGGAATTATGAACAGTCCCAAATACCGGTCAATATCGGCACAAAACCTTCAGGCTTCTGCTAGAAAGATGAACATGAAGAGGAACTTCATCTCTCAGCATGACAACCACCCAAAGCATCCATCCAAATCCACAAAGAAATGGCTTCACCAGAAGAAGAGGAAAGTTGAGGAATGTCCCAGCCAGAGCCCAGACCTGAATCCGATGGAAGATCTGTGGGGGGATGTGAAGAGGGCTGTGCGCAGGAGATGACACGCAATCTGACAGATTTGGGGTGTTTCTGCAAGTAGGAGTGGGCAAATATTGCCGAGTCAGGATGTGCCGTGCTGATAGACTCCTCCCCAAAAAGACTGAGTGCCGGAATCACATCAAAAGGGGCTTCACCAAAGGATTAGTGTAAGGGTGTGAACAGTTATGCAACCGGATTATTGTGTTTTTTTTTTTTTTTTACTTCCCCCCACCTAAAAGATTTCAGTTTGTTGTTCAACTGAGTTGTACAGTTTATAGGTCACATTAAAGGTGGAAAGTTCTGGAATAATTTATCTTTGTCTCATTTTTTTTAAATCACAGAAACCTGACATTTTAACAGGGGTGTGGAGACTTTGTGTCCCAGCTCACTATACATAATCATCATGTACTGGGAGGAGTCACAGGAAATAATGCCCCTCCCCCTTCTGTAGGTGACACAGTAGCCCCACTGCCCTTTTGATTCCCCCCACAGATCTTTATACAACCTCTCCATACAGATATCCCGGCATGGAGGGGCTCAGTGAAGGTGGTGGTGAAGGTGTGGAGGTGTCGGATCGGGTCACACAGATCATAAAAGGAGATCCACCCGGCCTCATAATCCAGATATATCCTGACTTTGTTACTGGGGGGATTGGAGGGTAAGAGGATCTTATTACTGTCATGTATCACCCCATACTGATCACCATTCCTGTACAAACCCCAGGACTTGTTATTCCTTCCAATCCCTGCCTGCCCTCCTCTCCTGTCTATACTGGGGTAACACATCCCGACTATCCATCCACCTGACCTCCCGACATCCACTTCCCAGTAATGTCTCCCTGAGGAGAAACTCCGACTGCTCAATACCTGAGGACGATCCTGAAATCTCTCTGGTGTTTCTGGATGATTCTGGTATCTCTCTGACCTGGATACAGTTTTCCTGTCATCTGATATATGCAGCTTATTATGAGCTGTGTTTCCATCCAGTAATATGTCCTCAGCTCCCTGTATATAGAAGGATACATTTCCCTCTGTTATTATATCAGATAATGTGTGTAATGTGTGTGATATCCCAGCCACATCCAGCCCCTCTCCATCATGGAGGAGTCCCTCATGTCTCTCTCTGTCCTCATTATCTCCATCCTCAGTATCACATAAGTCCCCTGTGTCTGATTCCTCATCATCTTCATCCTCAGTATCACACAAGTCACCTGTGTCTGATTCCTGTAGGACAGTCAGTGGATCTGTCATGTTACACAGCTCCTCAATGTCACGCATCTTCCTGGACAGCTCCTCCTTCTTTATTTCCAGATCCCGGATGAAGATGGAGACCCGCTCTGCCCTCCCGGAGATTTCCCTCAGGACTCTCTTCTCCAGGTCTTCCAGACGTCTCCTGAGATCCATAAACAGGGCAGTGAATCTCTCGGTGTCACCAGCTGCTTCTTCTTCTACTTTCCTCCTGTGTTCCTGCAGACTCTGGACTCTTTCCTCCATCTCCTCTTTCTTTGTCAGAAGTTTCTGCAGAACGTTCCTCAGTGTCTCCTTCTTCTTCTCAGAAGCCTCATCCAGTGACTCCATCTCATGTCCTTTATGTCCTCCAATCATACAACAAGACACACAGATACAGGTGTCATCCTCAGTGCAGTAATACTCCAGGATCTTCTTATGGACGGAGCATTTCCTGCTCTCCATGGACAAGGTGGGGTCACATAAGATGTGTTCTGGGGACTTTTTGTGGACTCTCAGGTGTTTATCACACAGAGAAACCTCACAGAGCAGACAGGATCTAACAGCAGGTACAGGAGAGTCCACACAGTAAGTACAGAAGACCCCGGACTCCTCCTGATCAGGCTGAGCAGAAAGCAACTTCTCCATTATATTACGTAGTGTTATGTTCCTCTGCAGAGAAGGCCGATCTGGAAACTTCTCTCTGCATTCAGGACAGGAATATCCTCCAGACCCCTCCTGTGTATCCAGCACACGATCAATACAGACCCGGCAGAAGTTGTGTCCACATCTCAGGTTTACAGGATCTGTATAAATGTTCAGACAGACGGAACATTCTAGCTCAACTCTCAAATCAGCAGACGCCATCGCTGACAGGAGGAGAAATGAAAGTGAAAGTCTCTGACACGGGGAAGAATGCGGTTGGATGAGTAATTTCCTCCTACACAGGGCGAGGATGGGCAGGATTAGTACAGAGGAGGGAGGTTTGTTCAAAGAAATAAAGATATTCAAACCTCCCAACTTTGAGAGTGAGATTGAAAGCACTACAGGTGGAGAGGAACACACCAAGGCCCCTGGCACACTAGACATTTAGTCCATGTGTGTCCAGTTCTGGGATATTGGTGTTCAGGAGGAGCACCTAGCCCTGCTGACCGAAGCCTATCAAAGTCTGAATGAAAGGTTGAAATACACCGGGGCTGGATGCAGGCAGTGATAAAGAAAGAAAGAAAGAAAGAAAGAAAGAAAGAAAGAAAGAAAGAAAGAAAGAAAGGAAAGAAAGGAAGGAAAGAAAGGAAAGAAAGAAAGAAAGAAAGAAAGAAAGAAAGAAAGAAAGAAAAAAAGAAAAGAAAGAAAGAAAGAAGAGAAAGGAAAGAAAGAAAGGAAAGAAAGAAAGAAAGAAAGAAAGAAAGAAAGAAAGAAAAGGAATAAATGGAGGAAGGGAGGCAAGGGAAGAAGAAAAGGAAGGGGATGAAGGAAGGAGGGAGAAGGGGAAGGAAGGAAGAAAGGGGATGGAAGAAGGAGGGAAGGAAGGGGAAGGAGGAAGGAAGGAAGAAAGGGAGGAATGGAATGGATGGAGCAGGGGAGAGAGGAAGGGAGGGGATGGAGGAAGGAAGGAATGAAGAAAAGGTGGGGAGGGAGGAAATAAGGAAGGGAGAGGATGGAGGAAAGAAGGAAGGAAATGAGGGGGGAGAGGATGGAGGAAGGAAGAAATGAAGAAAAGGAAGGAAGGGAGAGGATGGAAGTAAAAGAAGGAAAAAAGGGAGAGAGGGAATGGATGGAGGAAGGAAGGAAGAAAGGGAGGTAGTAAAGAACAGAAGAAAAGTGAGGAACCAAAGAAAATGGAGGGAGGAAAATGGAAAGAGAGTGGATGGAGGAAGGAAGGAGAGGAAGGGAGGGGAGGAAGGAATGAAGGAAGGAGGGGGATTGAGGAAGGAAAGAAGGAAGAGAAGAAAGAAAGAGGATGGATGGAATGGATGGAAGGACAAACATGAGGAAGGAAGGAACAAAAGGGAGGGAGGGAAGGAAGAAAGGAAGGAAAGGAAAAGAAAGGAGGGGAGGGAGGAAGGGAGGGGAGGGAGGAGGAAAGGGAGGGGATGGAGAAAGGAAGGAAAGAAAGGAGGAGAGGGAGGAAAGAAGGAAAGGAGATTATGGAGGAAGGAAGGAATCAAGAAAGGGAGGGAACAAATGGCGGAAGGAAGGTAGGAAGGAAGGAAGAAAAGAGAGGAAGGAATCAAATGGAGGGAGGGGAGGGAGGAAAAATGGAAAGGGGGTGGATGGAGGAAGGAAGAAAAGGGAGAAAGGAAGGAAGGAAGGAAGGAAGGAAGGGAAGAAAGGAGAGGGATGGAGGAAGGAAAGGAAGGAAGAAAGGGGGGGGAAGAAGGGAAGGAAGGAAGAAAAGGGAGGGAACAAGTGGATGGAGGAAGGATGAATGTGAGGAAAAAAGGAAGGAAGAAAAGGGAGGGAGGGAGGGAATGGATATAGGAAGGAAGGAAGGAAAGGAGGGGGGGGAGGAGGAAAGGGAGGAAGGAAAGAAAGGAGGGGAGAGAGGAGAGAAGGAAGGAAGGAAGGGAGAGGATGGAGAAAGGAAGGAAAGGAAGGAAGGAAAAAAAGGGAGGGAGGGAATAAATGGAGGAAGGAGAAATGGAAGGAATAAAAGGGAGATAGGGGAGGAGAATGGAGCAAAGAGAAGAGGAAAGGAAGGAAAGAAAGAAGGGAGGGGAGGGAATGGATGGAGGTAAGGAAGGAAGGAAAAAAAAGAAAGAAAGAGAGGAAGGAAGGGTATGGAGGAAGGAAGAAAGGGAGAAATAAAAGACAGAAGGAAGGAAGGAATGGATGGAGGAAGGGAGGCAAGGGAGGAAAAGAAGGAAGGAAAGAGGAGGGGGAAGGAAAGGAGTAAGGGAAGGAAGAAAGGAAGAAGGGAGAAAGGAAGGGAGGGAAGGGAATGGATAGAGAAAGGAAGGAAAGAAGGGAGGTGAAGGAAAGGATGGAGGAAGGAAGGAAGAAAGGACAGAAGGAAGGAAGGAGAGGGAAGAAGGGAGAAAGGAAGGGAGGGAATGGATGGAGGAAGGAAGGAAAGAATGGAGGGGAGGGAAATGGGTGGAGAAGGAAGAAAGGAAGAAAAGAGAGGTATGGGAGTAGATGGAGGAAGAAAGAAACAAAAGAAGGGTGGAAAGGAAATTAAAGGAAAGGAAGAAAAAGGAGGGAGGGAGAAGGGAAGAAAGGGGATGGAGGAAGGAGGGAAAGAAGGGAAGGAAGGAAGGAAGGAAGGAAGGAAGAAGAGAGTAAGGAAGGGAGGGGAGGGAATGGATAGAGGAAGAAGGAAGGATGGAAGGAAGGAAGAAAGGAAGGAAGGAAAAAAGGGAGATGGGGAATGGATGGAGGAAGGAAGGAAGGAAGGAAGGAAGGGAGGGAGGAAGAGAGAGAAAGAAGGGAGAAAGGAAGGGAGGGGAGGGGATGGATGGAGGAAGGAAGGAAATAATGGAGGGGAGAGAAATGGATGGAGGAAGAAAGGAAGGAAGGAAGGGGATGGAAAAATGAAGGGAAGGAAGAAAGGGTAGGAAGGAAGGAAGAAAGAAAGAAATGGAGGAAGGAAGGGGAAGGGAGGAATAAAGGACAGAAGGAAGGGAGGGAAGGAAGGAATGGATGGAGGAAGGGAAGCAAGGGCGGAAAAAGAAGGAAGGAAGGAGGATGGAGGAAGGAAAGGAGGAAGGGAAGGAAGAAAGGGGAAGGAAGGAAGGGAAAAAGGAAGAAAGGAGAAAAGGAAGGGAGGGAAGGGAATGGATAGAGGAAGGAAAGAATGGAGGGGGGGAAATGGATGGGAGGGAGTAGATAGAGGAAAGAAACAACAAAAGAAGGAAGGAAAGGAAATTAAATGAAAGGAAGAAAAAGGAGGGAGGGTGTTCTGTCTCTCCAATCTAAGCATTGAAAGTGTGATCTCTAACAGTTGTGATGAGATAACGGTAGCTCCAATCTTAGTTGAATGACACAGTCAGTGACTCAATCGCTAAGACATCTTGTAGATCTTGTGAAGTTTATTCCATAAACTGAGAGAATCTTACAACAATGAACAACGGATAGGTCAAGAGATCATAATGTGCTCTGCTTCATGAGACATGAGGCTTGCTGCAATGCATTATTGGGAGGGGGTTGGGCTATCTATACAGCATTAACTAAACCAAAGGAAAAGGAAGAGCAGAGACAAAATATAGAGAACACTTAAAGGCATATGACAGTCATGTATAACAAACTTTAGTTCAAGTCCAAAATAAATAATGAAGATTTTTTCCAGGAACATCTGCAAAACAAGAGGAAAGGGAAGAACTAAGGAAAACAATGCAAACATTTAGCATAAATACTTTGCAGCAGATGTTGGTCTCAAAAGTCCAGGCTGAGACATGGAAATCCATATTCAGAGGGGAAGGCAGCAACATGCACATTCCTTCTTACCTCCCTTTAAATCAGGTTGATGACTTGTCTTCCTCTTTGGGCAAAAGAAGTTCCTTTATAGGCCTGGAGTAAAGGTGTGCAGAACCTTCTTTCATGGTGGATATAGCCGAGATGTGTCCAGAAATGCAGTAGTAGGTACTTCACGACTGCCGCATTCAGCAGGGTTGAGGCTAGTGGGAACATAGTGCCATTGTTCAGGTGCAGAGAACTTCCATATGTGTTCCACTCTGTTGCCGACATACACCTAGAACTGTCTTGTGCGATTGTGTATATATCCTAGCGTTATTTTGCTGTCTGTATAAAAGTCAAAGGAGTCTATTTCAACATCTGTTTCAAGTTCTATGAGCTCAGCAATTTCTACAGCTAACACAGCTGCACAAGGTTTGAGCCTTGGAATAGTATGTGCAGGATTTGGTGTGAGCTTGGTCTTGCCCATGATAAATCCTACACCCACTTCACTGCTGTGATCCGTAGCTCAAAGATAAGCCACCGCAGCAATGGCTTCATTGGATGCATCGGAGAAGACATGAATCTCTCTTCTGGTGGCATTCATTAAGGATGCTTGGGTGTAAAGAGCGTGGTATCTGGGGGAGTTCTAATGCTTTTAGAGACTGTTTCCAGGATTCCCACCTTTGTTGTTTCTCCTTGGGTAAGGGGGTATTCCAGTCTGAGCTTTCAGAAGTAAGTTGTCTCAGCAGTATCTTACCCTGAATGGTGAGAGGTGTAATGAAACCTAAGGGATCATAAATGCTGTTTCACTGTAGACAATAATCCTCGCTTTGTGAAGGGCTTGTCACAGGCTGATGCTTGAAATGTGAATGTGTCGTGTTTAACATTTCAAAGCAATCCAAGACTGCGTTATGTAACAGAAAGGTCAGATCCTAGTTGGAATTTCTTCACACTGACAGCATGGTCATCATAAGGAAAGCTATCATGACCTTGTCGCTGTTAGAGATGATTTTGTGAAGTCTGAGGTTTGCAGTGGCAAGCATGTTCTGGGTTCTAGTAAGAAGTTCAATAGCTTCTTCTTCATTGGGCAGAGATTTGAGTCCATCTTCTACAGAGAAATTTCTTTCAATGAACTGTCTTGCATCAGATCCAAATTCTTTCTCACCCTCTTGAGCTGTTTTCCTCAGTCCATAAATTGCTACTGCAGGAGAAGGACTGTTACCGAAAACATGTACCTTCATTCGATAGTCTATGACTTCAGCGTTGACATCATTATTGCGGTACCATCGGAACCTGAGGAAGTTTCTGTAATCTTCGCGGACGATGAAACAGTGGAACATCTGCTGAATGTCAGCCATAACAGTAATTGGCTCTTGTCTGAAGTGAAGTAAAACTCCTATGAGATTGTTGTTCAGATTAGGCCCAGTGAGAAGATTGTCATTGAGGGAGACACCTTCATGACGAGCACTTGAGTCAAAGACCACCCTAATCTGATCAGGCTTGCGAGGATGGTAGACATCAAAGCATGGTAGATACCAACATTCTTCTCCTTCCATAAGAGGAGGTGCAAGCTCAGCATGATCTCTCTCAAACACCTTCTGCATAAAGTCCACAAAGTGCTTTTTCATCTCAGGCTTCTGGTTCAAACTGCGATTTAAAGAAACAAACCGTGATTCTGCGTGTACCCTGTTGTTTGGTAGTCTCTTTCTTGGGGTACGAAATGGTAGAGGCGCTACCCAACTGTTGGAATCATCTTGGTAAACCTCTTTACTCATGGTTTTCAAGAATTCTTTGTCTTCTATGGTAGCTGCCAACTCATTGTCTTTAGTGGTTACCTCGAACACTGTTGCCAATGTTGTCATCCCAGAAATTAAGAGCTTTCTTATTGTTTTGTATGATGGGCCGTTGTGCACTTTTTTCAGTCTTTCTTTCACGATGTATTTATGTGATCGTTGTGCAGAACAAGTTGTTTGCCCATTTGACAGCACATGTAAGGTAAGAGACTGAGTAGGACCTCCTCTCCTTGTCTAGGCAGACATTGCCTATAGAGATGAGCGAATCGAACATGACGAAGTGGAATTCGTTCCGAAGATTTGGAAAAATTCTATTCGCGACGAATCCGAAGATTAGCAAAACTTCGGATGCACGAATCGAATTTTCCCAAAAATGGCGGCGACATGTGTGGCGACGGAGAAAATGGACAGAGAAGATGAGGCGGGGATCTCTGGGAAGGCGCGCAGACAAGGCGCGCTGACCCATAATTGCATTCATGACATGTGATCGCATTAGCCAATCAGCAGCCAGCCAGCACTGTGTAATGGTGGAGCTATAAATCGCGGCCATCTTAGAATTCTCCATTAGCCTCCGGTCATTCAAGAGAGACAGACCTGTGTGTATTAAGGGACAGAGTTAGGGCCACAGAGACTTTAGGGCCATAGAATCGTTACTCAGGGACACAGAATCGTTACTCAGGGACACAGAATCGTTACTCAGGGACACAGAATCGTTACTCAGGGCCACAGAATCGTTACTCAGGGACACAGAATCGTTACTCAGGGACACAGAATCGTTACTCAGGGACACAGAATCGTTACTTAGGGCCCACAGCTATCAAAGAATCGAAAATTTAAAGTGACATACACCCTTTTTTTTTTGGTGGCTGTCGTGCACAGTTGGTGCTGCAGTTTGCCGATTGTGCAAAATAAACTGACTTTCTGCTTCACAACCACTATTGTGTACGTTCAAAGAGTTAAATCCATTTACACGCCGGCTGGCGGTAATATTTTTTGGGTGATTAGTGCATTCCAGTGACACAAACGTACAGTTTCCAGCCAACGGCAAGCTGCAATTGACCGATTGTGTACAATAAACTGACTTTCTGCTTCACAACCACTATTGTACCCTGCGCCATGTGCCTCTGTCGTCTGCTCACGCTGCTGACGGCTTCCGCTTTTTAAACTAGTCCCTTGTGTATGTCTTCCGAATACTGCTGCCTCTTCCACCGCCACCCTGCGCCATGTGCCACTTTCGGGTCTCCTCACACTGCTGCCAGGTCCATACTGATTCATGGCCCCTGTACCGGCTCCTCATGAACGTGGTTCAGCGGTTTGCATCACTTAAACGGCAAATCGTTGACAAACGCTGGGACGTTCAGTGTTGTGCGCATTAAGCCAGACACCAAAGGGCAGCACAGACCTGTTATTACTCATTCAAGCATGGCTGAACAAAACCAGTCTCTACCACAAATTGGACCCAGACCTGCCCAGGGTCTCGTAAGTAGATTGCACGGAGGAGTAGAGTTCGTTATTGGAATTAACTGTGAGGGACTTTTAAACCTAGGCCTGTGTATGGCCTTCAATTGAAGCTGCTTCTGCTCCGCCACTCTGCCATTGGACTCTTGATAGTCGTCTCCCCACGCTGCTGCTGGGGGGACTTTTTAACATAGACCTCTGTATGGCCTTCAATTTTAGCTGCTTACGCTCCGCCACTCTGCCATGGGCCCCTGTACCGCCTCCTCATGCTGCTGCCAGGCCCGTAATCTGCCATGGGCCCCCGTACCGACTCCTCATGCTGCTGCCAGGCCCGTAATCTGCCATGGGCCCCCGTACCGACTCCTCATGCTGCTGCCAGGCCCGTAATCTGTCATGGGCCCCTGTACCGCCTCCTCATGCTGCTGCCAGGTCCAGAGTGTGTCATGGGTCCCTGTACGGCGTCCCATTGCTGCTGTCTCCATCGCCACACTCTGCCATGTGCCACTTTCAGGTCTCCTCACACTGCTGGTGGGTTCCATTTTGTCATAGGGTGCTGTATGACCTCCCATTGCTGCTGCCTCCACCGCCACACTGTGGCTCCACACTCTGGTTTTGGCCCCGTGACTGCCCAAATGAGTGAAGTGTGCGGTGATTCTAAGATTGACGGCACTCATCTGCATGTCATACTGACTGACAGTATTATTTCTCTTCCCCAGCAGACTCCAAGGGCATTTAAATTAAAGGTACAGTGTTCTGCACTAATATAAAGGCTCTCTGAAGCCTAGAAACACCCTTTTTATAAGTTAAATTCACAGCGAATATATTCGGCTCGAAGCGAATTTATTCAGCGAATTCGGTGAATCAGCCGAACCGAATTTTTGAATAATTCGCTCATCTCTAATTGCCTATGATGACCCATCCTAGATCCAGACGCTGAGCATATGGTGCATTGTGTGGACTGTTGATTTGATGATGAACTTTGTGCACCCTTAGGATTTCTCGACCAAGTAACAGCAGGATATCGGACTTTCTTCGAGGGCTGGTAATTGGTTGGCTATGTGCTTTAAGTGAGAATGGTGAAAAGCAGCTTCAGTAGTCGGGATCTCCTCTTTGATGCTTGGAATCTGGTTGCACTCAGTGATAGTGGGCAAATATATGTCCACATTGTCATTCAGAGGAGCAACTACAAGACACTGGCTCTCCTGCCTAAGACTTCTTTAGTGCCAGAACAAGTGCTTAGAGTATAAGGCAGAGCATCTCCAGTTATGTTCAACACTTCAAAAAAATGTGTTCTTGCAAGCGATCTGTTACTCTGATCATCCAGAATAGTATACAGTCTTATGGCCTTTTCAGGTTGACCTTTGGGGTATACACGGACCAAGCATATCTTTGCACAGGAGTTATCACAGAATCCTTCTCCACAGACCTCTGTACATGTAGAGAACACTGGGATGGTAGGTGCTGCTTTATCTGGGAGCTCCCCATCTTGCTTTGCCTCAGGAAGATTGTTTGTGAGTGTAGTAGAGTTGTGCGAATATTGATGAAGAGTTTGCACATGGTCATCACTGTCACACTCTATACATTTGATGATCGCTTTACAGTCCTTTGCAAAGTGTTCTGTGGAGGCACAGCATTTGTATCAAACCCCAAATTTCTTCAAAAGTTCCTTACGTTCTTGGAGGGTTTTCTTTCTGAAGCTGATACATTTCGTAAGTGGATGTGGTTTGTTATGTATTGGACATTGGCGATTTGGGTCCTCAAGTTTCTTGTTTTTGATCAGTCTTTTCAAGAACTGTAGCAGGTGCAGGTAGAACATTAGTCCTTTTCACTAATGCTGGACCTCTACGGGTGTCTGTGCGACATACGTGTGCTTGTAGGTCTTGGAGAGAGTGTACTGAGAAGGTTACAGTCCCCTATGAGACACTTGGGTCATTCTTAGTGTCTGTAATTCTTTTGATGAACTCACAGAAGTAGGAAAAAGGAGGAAAGGCAAGGCTGCCCATCTTTCTTGAATTCCATATGGTAGCTTGAGAACAATCAATTTGATGCCATGAGAGGTGTCAAGGTAACTGGGACCAGGTAAGTTGATTTCAGCCTTAGCAAGTTGAAGATCTAATAGAACATTGCTGAGTTCTTGAAACTTTAGATTGTCGTTAGCAGAAATTCTTGGGAAGCTTTGCAACCTTTTGAATAAGTCTGCCCCAAGCAGCATCAAGGCCTGCAGCAGGGTTGTCAATATGAACTGCTTTGAGGACTCTTGATGTGTTCACTGGACTGGGGACCTAGCCATCTGATGAGTAGATCTAATTCCTCTGTGGCATTGATGTCTAGGTCACTCATTGTGGCCTTAAAGGTGGATTTCCAGCCTCTGTAATTTTCAGGCTTGTCATCAAACTTGGTGAGGCCTGTTTTAACAAGCCCTCTGCGAAGCATGTATGTAGCAAACTGTGTCATGTCGGTGTTTTCAGATTTTGGGTGCATGACTGCAGGTGGAACAGAGTTGGTTGTGATGGTTGGTAGACTTACGTGGAGTGACTTGGGAGCATATGTTGCTGCTAAGGCATTCAATGCCGGAGCTGGCTTAAAGTCCATTGGCATGTTGGTTTGTAGAGTAGTGCGTTTGCTAGGTGGTACTCTGTTGGTGCCAAAGTAAGATGGACGGTCTATTAAATACACACCAGAGTCTGCAGCTAGCTGAGATGCATTGGAGGATATAAGGGCAAATCATCTTGAGGTACAGTAGGTGCAGAGAAGAGACTTTGATTGAGTAGTTTGGCTGCTGTGACAGGGACTTTACGTTCTGGAGAGGTGTGTGAAGAATCTGAGACATAAGATACAACTGAGTGTCTGGAACTGTTGTCTCTTTCATTTTCACTAGCGGCTTGTTCTAAGACCCTTAACCTTGCCATGGCTGTGGCATGCTCACATTGTTTTTCCAAAACTTCAATTTCTGCCTTTTGGCGTGTGGCTTCAGCTTCTTTCTCTGCTTTCTGATGTGCAGCCTGAGCTTCCATTTCTGCTTTCTTTTGGGTGAAAGCTGCCTGAATTTTAGAAGCTTCAGCATCAGCACAGACTTTTTTTAGTTGCTGACTGAGTGTAGAAGACCTTGATTGTAGGGATTTGGAAGATCTTGAGGAGCGTCTAGTACGGGTGTCAGCAACCCGCGGCTCCAGAGCCACATGCGGCTCTTTTTCACCTTTGCTGCGGCTCCGGAGCACACTGCCCACCAGGTGACAGGCAATAGGGTTGCCGTAGCTCAGTGGTCGGCAAGCCGCGGCTATTTACACACTTCAATGCGGCTCTTCTGTGTGCCGGGCGCCCGCTCCCCTCCCGCCCCAAAAGTCAGGACTCTGCAGCTAGCCCAGCAATGGGCAAACTACGGCCCGGCGGACCTTTTAATCCGGCCCGCGAAGCGTGGCAAACATTGGCTGTCAGGATGTAGGTGGGGCAGCGTGACGAACTCCTCTCCTCTCACAGTCCGCCCTGAAGACCAGAACACGGCGAGAGGAACGCGCGGAGCAAAGGTAAGTGAATTGACACAATATGGGGAATGAATTACTATAGGGGGGGATGAATTACTATAGGGGGGATGAATTACTATATGGGGGATGAATTACTATATGGGGGATGAATTACTATGGGGGATGAATTACTATAGGGGGGATGAATTACTATATGGGGGATGAATTACTATATGGGGGATAAATTACTATAGGGGGGATGAAATTACTATATGGGGGATGAATTACTATATGGGGAATGAATTACTATATGGGGGATGAATTACTATAGGGGGGATGAATTACTATATGGGGGATGAATTACTATGGGGGATGAATTACTATATGGGGGATGAATTACTATGGGGGATGAATTACTATGTGGGGGATGAATTACTATGGGGGATGAATTACTATATGGGGGATGAATTACTATATGGGGCATGAATTACTATGGGGGATGAATTACTATATGGGGGATGAATTACTATATGGGGGATTAATTACTATGGGGGGTGAATTACTATAGGGGGGATGAATTACTATGGGGGATGAATTACTATATGGGGGATGAATTACTATATGGGGATGAATTACTATATGAGGGATGAATTACTATATGGGGGATGAATTACTATGGGGGATGAATTACTATATGGGGGATGAATTACTATAGGGGGGATGAATTACTATATGGGGGATGAATTACTATAGGGGGGATGAATTACTATAGGGGGGATTAATTACTATGGGGGATGAATTACTATAGGGGGGATGAATTACTATGGGGGATGAATTACTATATGGGGGATGAATTACTATATGGGGGATGAATTACTATATGAGGGATGAATTACTATATGGGGGATGAATTACTATGGGGGATGAATTACTATATGGGGGATGAATTACTATGGGGGATGAATTACTATGGGGGATGAATTACTATATGGGGGATGTATTTTCAGTTTTAAAAATGTGGCTCTCAAAATAAATTTCAATCGTGGTTTTGGCGAGATTTGGCTCAGTTGAAAAAAAAGGTTGCCCACCACTGATCTAGTAGACACAGAGTGATAAGATCTGGATTCATGGAGCTGTGTTATTCTCACTTCTGCCTTTGTCTTTGTTCGCACCACTAAATTGTCTCTTTCAAGATTGAGCTCCTCAAAACTCATTCATTCTTCCAATGACCTTTGAGTGTTGTATCACTTTAAGAGAGCAATATATTTAACACTCAGTCTTTGATAATTCTCATAAGCAACATTCAATTGCTGGATAGCGGCCTCTAGTTGTATTGGCTCATGAGATTGTTGGGGGAGGGCAGACATGCATTTAACACTAGTAGACCATAAGTCGTTAATATTAGACAGCAATTCTAACTTGTCAGCATTAAAATTCTCTTGTATCTTCCAGGTTGGTTTTGTTAAGTGTTTTTCTCTTTTGTATAATTCAGGGTTTAAGTCCTACTCTGGATGAAGCTCTGATTGCAGTTGTGTATTAGTTTCCCCAGTTTGTATATTACTTTCCTGAAACATCATGTTAGCAAGGAGAGGGGTTGATAGAAAGTTTATAGAGAAATGTATCACTTTTTCTGTGGGTGAGCTCAGGTTTCCTAGGCAATGGTTGCAGAAAAGTTTTCTTTTACTTTCTTATAAGTTCACAGACAAGCCATGTGGTAATGCATACATTCACATCAATAATTTGTCCTGACACTGATGAGTGTTATGCTGGGATATTCTTGCAGACATGTACAGGCTTGTGTAGAGATGGCTGCATTCTCTGTAGCTGTCCATATAACATCTCACTGTGTATTCAAAGATAGCAAGGATCATATGAAGACATTTCACTGATCATTTGACTGATCTTTTAGCTGATCCTATGAAGACATTTCACTGATCTTTTGACTGTTCTGTCTCTCCAATCTAAGCATTGAAAGTGTGATCTCTGTAACTTACAGTTGCTATGAGATAGCGATAACTCCAACCTTAGTTGAATGACACAGTCAGTGACTCAATCCAGAAGACCTCTTGTAGATCTTGTGAAGTG